TTGTAAGGAGGGGAGACTGTGACAACCCTCACCTCCAATTACTGCTAAACTGTGACTGCACATGATAAGTAACTGATTAGGATGAAATCCTAAACTGATTGCATGAGTATACTGTTTTAAATGCATTTCTATCTGTTAGTCATTGAATGATCTGTTCATGTTTTTAATTTCGAACTGCAAATTGAAGGCCTTATCGGCGGCCAAATCTGTAATTGATTAGTGTTATGTGCTGCTTAGGATTTATGTGATTTTATGGTAAATTTAATTAAAAGTTGATTAGGAATGATTAATAATGTTAAATTACAATAGTTTGGATTTATTACAAGATTGCCACTTAGTGGCCTAGTTCTAGACCAACACTCATCTTCAATTCATACACATTTGACATAACATTTCTTCAGCCACTTCTAGAGACCAAAACGTGAGAGAGAGCTTGAGAGTTGGAAGAAGAATTGAGTTCACTTAATTTGGCTTGGAGACTTAGAAGATTTGAAGAGTTCATTGCACATTTGAGCTCCTAGACTTGAAATTAAAGACCTAAGGTAGGAGAATCATCTTCTTGAACTTGAATTCTAGTTGTATCTTGCATTGTCCATGAGCCATTAGTGATCTAAGTCTAGAACTGGTTTTAAATTGTTGAATTGAAACTTGAATCATGCATGCATGTACACATTAGTGAGTTTTGAGGTTGTTTTCATGGAAATTCTTACATGCATGTCTATATCCTAGCTATGGTCCATGAAGTCATCATGTTTTTGAGTGAATTGACTCATTTGATCAAGTATTTGAAGCCTTGATTTCAATTAAACACTTGCATGTCACATATACATTATGTTCATGAAGTTTTGTTTGGATTTGTGTTTAATTGAACCACCTTTGGGCTTTGATTTTGCAAAATGATCTTTGAAACATGTCATATTATGAGTTTTAAAGTGTTTTCCAGAAAATTGGCCCAAATGAATCGAATTTGATGCTTTAAATGTTGAATTTGAGCTTGGAGGTTCAATCTAGAAATTCCAGATTTTGGACCCACGCTCCAGCATAGGACTTTACGCTCAAGCGTACCCTCTGAGACATGCATTTCCGCTCGAGCGAGGAAAGTAGCGCTCGAGCGTGAAATGCATGCACCCAGAAGTTCTTGTGTTTTACAGTTCGCTCGAGCAAGGACTTGTGTCTCACGCTCGAGCGGAGGTCGAGCACCCATCGAGCGTGAATTGCATGCATCCATTACTTTTCATGAGTTTACAGTCCGCTCGAGCAAAGGAAGTCACGCTTGAGCGGCGCCCCTTTGTCTGCATGTCCGCTCGAGCGTAGAAAGCCACACTCGAGCAAGACCCCTGTTTTCTAAAAATTTTGAGAAGTGTTTTAAAGTGCATCTTTGCATCCTCTTTCTATACTAGGCATTTCTAGGCCATGTTTGAGGCATCTTAATGAGGATATTGATGTAGAACCACACCGAGTCAAGATAGGGACTAAGTCATTGATTACCAAGTGTGTGATTTAGTGTGTGTTCATTCTGTAACTGTGTAGGGTTGGCATCCGAGGATGCTTACTAGCCTCTCTATAGCCCAGTACTCTGTGAGTAACAATGTTGTAAAGATATGCTCAATCATGAATATTTTCTGAGTGATCAACTGTACTGCTTTCTGAAATGATATTTCTTACTGAATGAATGTTTGTCCTATTTGTAAATTGTATTCATGGCATCCATAGTAATTTACTGTTACTGTACTGTTACTGCTACTGTTACAGAGATTTCTGTCGGTTCCCATGTTTGGAACCACTACTGTTTACTGTTATGATGGCCATCAACCGACTGTTCGGTCTATTAAGACGTACTGTACTGTTTTGCTATTGGATGTACCACATATAACCACTATGGTTTCTAAATGACTGATATGACTGCTCATTGACTGAAAGGGCATTCATTCTTAACCTCTTTATATATTGTTATTCACTGGGCTTTAGCTCACTGTTTATTACTTATATGTAGGTGTCCAGGCACCGGATCGGAGCTAAAAGCGTTGGGTTAAACTCCCTTTTTGTCTAGCCAACCAATGTGCCTTACTGCGAGGTTCCAAGTGTACTCAAGCTAAGGCTGCTTTGGGGTGTTTTAGATTCCCCCTTTCTGCTTCTATTTTGTATAGAATGTTAAGACTTGTATTGTACTATCATGGTAGGGATTAGGTCCCTAACCTGAATGTCTGTATATGTTGTATGTATATATGTTTTACTTATGAATGTGAATATGTTCGGAAAAGTCTTTTTGCATACAGACTGTCACAGCTCATTGGGCATCTTTTGTTACTGTTTTGGCTTCCACCAGTCCCTGTACTCTGTATTACTGTCTTTACTGTTAAGTAGGCCTTCGGTAATCACGGATTACTGGCTGGTTACGGTGCTAAACCCATAGGGGCGGGTTTGGGTCGTGACAACATATTTTCGAGGGCAACGCTTTGGAGAGATGTGGTCAAATGTAGCTGAATCTTTCAATTCGTGAATACGAGAGGAACGCCACTTGCCTATCACAAAGTTGATTGATAGTGTAAGAATTTAGTTGATGAGGAAAATTACTAAGAGGAAGGAACTTGTTAATAAATGGAATGGTTTGATATGCCTGAAAATGGAGTCTAAGTTGCATGATTGTTTTAATACTTCGAGGCCATGGATGGCTAGTTCATCTGGAAATGATGTCTATGAGATGCATTTACATCCATCTGTTTCAGTTGACATTAGTAGACGAATATGTTCTTGTGGCGAGTGGCAGTAGAAAGGGTTTCTATATGCACATGCAGTTGGTGCTATACAAAAGAGTGGACATGATTTGAGTTTATTTGTTGATCAATACTTCTATGTTCAAAGTTATCGAGAGTCCTGTTCTTTTCCTATATATCATGTTCCTTCAATTTGGAAACCAGATTGTAATGTTGATGGTGATAGTGAAGTTGTTCTTCCTCCTTTGTCTAAGAAGCAACCAGGAAGGCCAAATAAGAAGAGGATTCGTTCGAATGGAGAGAAAGTAAGGCAAATTACTTGTAGTAGATGTGGGAAGGTTGACAATCACAATAAGAAATCTTGTAAGGAGGCTTTGTGATTTTTTGTAGCTGCTTTGTGATTGTAAAAATTTCGTATTCATAAATTTCTTGAAGTAGCAGTTTGTGATGTTGAGTGCTAAGTAATAATCTTCTATGTTTTGAATAAAGTGACAATGAATTGAAAGTGAAAATATTCTTAGTTTCAAATTTTAATTTTGAAATTGTTTGTGATAACATTGTTTGGTTGGCTTTCAGAAATAAACTTGACTGTTGAATGTTTGTTTTGAAGATTATGTGAATACTGTATAAAAAGTGAACATATTCTCAGTTTAAGTTTTTAGTTCAAAATAGCTGATTTTGTAATAATAGTGTGAGGCTCTTGTTATGAATTGGAACTAGTTATAAATGTGATCAATTGAATGAATGTGAATTAATATTCTAAATATATGTGGTCAATCCTTTATGTTTTGATTAAAGTAACAGTGGACTGAAAGTGAAAATATTCTTTGTTTCGAATTTTAGTTTTTCAAATTGTCATAATATTGCGAGGCAGCAAATAAATTGTTGTGATAATATTGTTGTTTGAAAATTGAGTGATCTGTGTAAAACTGAAAATATTCTCAGTTTTAAAGTTTCTAAGTTTGAAAATAAATGATTGTGAGGCAACAAAACACTGTATAAAAACTGAAAATATAAACAAAAACATCAACAAAGCACTGATTGTGATACAGTAAAGTCTTGTGTCCACTATTTTCATATGTAATACTATTTTCGCTTTTCCCATATAGTAGTGTGAGGAATAGGATAATAGAAACTGAGAATATGGACAAAAACATCAACCAAGCTCGGGTGCATATATCTTTGAGAGTATGACAAAATATTCCATTACACATCATAGAAATTGTAATATGTTTGTTAGGTAATATGCTTGGAACTATTAACAAAAACATTAGTCATTGTATCAGAGTGTTACAAAAAAGAGTCCATTGAGTTACACATAAAAAAAAAATTCATTGAATGTTGCAATCTTGACTCCTACTTGACTCTGTGACAAAATATTCCATTACACATCATAGAAATTGTAATATGTTTGTTAGGTAATATGCTTGGAACTATTAACAAAAACATTAGTCATTGTATCAGAGTGTTACAAAAAAGAGTCCATTGAGTTACACATAAAAAAAAAATTTCATTGAATGTTGCAATCTTGACTCTACTTGACTCTGATTGATCTTTGTGGATCACTGAGGAACTCATGTACCATGTCTGCTCTGAGTTTTGTGGATGTGCCTGGTGGTAATGTGTTTGGAATTGGTTGATGCCTCATGTATTGTCTTATGATGTAGCAAACAATAATTCCACAGTCATTCCTATAGAAATCATTTTTGACACAGTTAGGGAAAAAACAAATTTTTTTTGAAAAAGATATTAAAATTTGTTAGTTAGAATAAATTAACATACGTCATTGCTTCTTGTTGAGGGCTGTCTTTGACTGATTCAATCTTGACATTAGGATTCCAGGCTTTTTCTGCTTGACAAGGTGTATCCTTCATGTATTGATGGATGATTTTTTGCTATAAAAAACATCAACATAAAATATGTAATGATTTATATCTGATTATTGTAATGCTAATCTGAAATTATTCTTACCAGTTGATTTGCAACGTTGTAGTGCTTGTCCTTTCCTTTTCTTGGTCTCAAAGAGTTGAAATGTTTCCAAGTCCCCAAGTGTTTGTCAATAACAAGTAATGTCCAATGATTGAAATTGTGGATGGGGATATGGATGTATCGACATGGGAGGGATTCTTGCAAAGTATTTTTCAAAATCTTTTTCCTTTGTTTTGAAGTTTTCTTCTTCAACATTGGCTGTTTTTTACAAAAAATATGTGAATATTCACAGTAATGGTATGAACTCAATATTCATATGTCGATGAAAAGCAACAAAACATGATTAACTACAATTTATCACTCAAATTGTTTTGAAATCTGAGTATATTCCCAGCAATGATACCAAAATCAAAATTTGAGAACATTCACAACAATGATAACAAACACAAAAAATCTACTTTGAAACTGTGGGGGCCGAATAATAATGGAAGTGCTAAATAGGTCGAATAGTTGAACTAAGAGTCGAAATATATAGCACTCGGCATCGTCTCGTACGCTCAAATCCTGCCCTGCTCGGCTATATAGCCGGTTGAGCAAGGGGCCGAGTAAAAAGCGGTTTGTTACGGAAGAAGCCGAATGTCGGATTGAAAGTGGGCTCAATCCCGAGGCCCAAGAAAAAAAAGATATAAATAGAAGAACATCAGCTAGAAAGAGGTATGTGAGAATCATTACACTTAACTTAAAATACAAGCAATTCAGAGAGTAGAGACTGACTTGCTCGTCGGAGTGCTAATTTCGGCACCCCCGACCAGAGTGTTAATTCTTTTTCAGGTGGCTAGCTGAGGATCACGAGCGTCCCCCAGGATCAGAAGAGTATTTCCAAACCACTTCTCCATAGAAACCAAAATTGAACGAAAGATAAAATATAGAATTGACACATGCACATTTATTCCTTACCCAATATAGACTTGACAATATGAAAGACTTGCCATTGTGCTCTGCTCCATCACCAGAATTCTGTGCTTGTGGTTCTTTTTCAAGAATCTCAGCATATGCATCAATTGTCTACCAAATTGAAACACAAAAGTGATGTTAACAAATTAATGAGAAGTTTTTCAGTGTTAAAATATTACAAATATTATACGTACACAGCTGGATATGTCTGTCCATTTTACCAAGTTCTTGATATCATTAATAAACACACAATTGTCATATCTTACGCCAAACATATACAAGCACTACAAAACAATAAAAAATGTGTTAATAATTAAGTCAAAATATTTTTAGAAAACAGAGCTATTTCTCTGTTTCATTTCATATATTTGTACTACATGAAAAATTGAAAGATTTATGTAAGATTATACCTTGATTCTGTTTGCTTTTCTTTCCAAAGAATTTGTAGTTTATATTTATCTTCAGGAGGTAGCAATTAAGCCACAACATACTTGTTTGAAATTGTCTCATCTTTGTGTTCCTTCTCTTTCTCAACTTTAATTTTCTTGCCTTTATACTCATAATCTAATACCTCAGTAGTCTTCCTTGCTTTAGCTTTGATATTTTTAATCATGGAATTCTATAGATTTGTTTGTCTTGATTCTGTCAGATCATCGGCTTTTATTGCACAAACTTGTTGGGTTAAGTCATGGACTTCTTCCTCCACTAACTGATTCTGCAACTGAGAATTTTGACAATCTTTCACATTTGTATTTGTCTCACAATGTTTTGTTGCAAAAGGTTGTTGCGTTATCTCATGGACCTCTTTCTGATGGAGCTCTTTGTCCACCACTTCAGAATTTTCATGGACCTCTTTCTGCAGCACTTGAGAATTTTCGTTGTTTATTGTATGACATTCATTCTTTGTATCTGTCCCAGAATGTTTTACTCCACAAACTTCTTGGGTTATCTCATGGACCTCTTTTTCAACCAATTGGTTATGTAATCGAGAATTTTCATCTTTCAATTGTTGTATTTGTGCTGTGAGTAGCCTGTTATCCTCTTCAAGTTTATTTATGTAGATGGTCTTCACTGTGCTATCTAGTTGCAAATTGTTGTTCTCAGTTTGAAGTTTCTCAAGTGTTTGTTGATGAATTTGTTCTTCTCCCTCAGGTACATCATTGAGTATAATGTTGTAGAAGCCATTAAAGTCTTCATTTGCTGGCTTTTATTCTTGGTGGCACTCTTCGGCATATTGACCATCTTCTTCTTCAGAATCTTCTTCTTGTTCAGTATTTTCAGCATCTTGTTTTTGTTGTTCTTGTTCTTGTTCTTCAGCATCTTCTTGTTTTTCATCTTCAGTATTTTCAGCATCTTCTTTTTCTTTTTCTTCAGTGTCATCAAGTTCTTCATCATTTTCCTCGTTCAATTGAGCACTAGTTACCTGTAGGTCAACATACAATAGATGTTAGTTTTTGAAATAATTAAAGTTTAGGAAACTAAAAAGTTTCTCAGTAATAATTCAGTGTATAAAAATAGGGATTTTTCCCAACTTGAATTGAAATTCAAATGAGATGAGGATGTGACCTGTCTTCTTGTCAGCTGATGTAGTGATATGACTTTCATACGTTTATGTAATTTGATAAGATTCCACTTGATCACCCTTGGGCATGTTTCGCTAACTTCAGGGTGGATGATCAGTGTGTGCTCACACAACCAATACTACAAAGCAAATGTAAAGAATTTTTGTCATTTGAATAAGAAATAATACTATCTGTTGTTAACAACAAACTAATAGAATATAGTAAAGATGTACTTACTAAGAGAGCCATAACACAGCTTGTGACTTTTGCTGGATTTTTATGGTATTTTTTAATTGAAGACATCAGTATGTTCCTTATTGCTTCTGCCCAATTGTATTTTCTCATTGAGTTTATGTCTTCGATGTAATTAAGAAATACCCATCCAACTGTTGTTCCTAATGTAGAGAAAAAAAGCTTCAAACAAGTATACATACACAACATCCTTATCATATCTTCAGTGTCTTCTTTCTTCTTGCCTTTCAATGCTTTTTGCAATAAGTCTATGATGGTTGTGCTCGATAGCCTTTCAGTTTGTATGGATCTTCTTGTTAGAAATGATGATATATTTTTATTTCCATAACCAAGATGTATCGGCTCATCTCCACAAGATATACCGAAGATGGACTTGATGTCTTCTATTGTTAGCTTTACAGTTTCTGGTCCTAACTGGAAAGAACCACTGCTGCCTGGCTGGTATGTTTGAATTATTTTCAATGCAATGTTATCATATTTTCTGCATTGTTTATAATTCATCTCGTTTGTCAATATGGCATCAAACAATAACCAAAATGGGGTTTTCTTCAAGCCATTAATATGCTCATTCTTGAGTTTGATGTGCTGTAATAGCTTCACTATTGTCACCAATTCACAGCAATCACACTAAAATCAACAATGAAAGCTAAATTGAAACCAATAGCATATGATTGACTAAGGTTTTTCACTAAAATTGATTGAAAATATGAGAACATTGACAGCAATGGTACCACACTCAACATTGAAACCTAAATTGAAAGGAATAGGATATGATTAAGTAGGGTTTTTCACTCAAATTGATTTAGAATATGAGAACATTCACAACAATCGCAGCAAAATCAACATTGAAACTTAGATTGGAAGCAAGAGAACATGATTAACTAGGGTTTTCAGTCAAATTGATTGAAAACTTGAGAAAATTCACAATAATCATGTCAAACTCAATATTGAAACCTAAATTGAAATCAAGAGAATATGGATTAAGTCTGGGTTTTCACTCAAATTGACTAAGAATCTGAGAACATTAACAACAATCATGCGAAAATCAACATTGAAACCCAAATTCAAACTAAGAGAATATGATTCACTAAGGTTTTTTACTCAAATTGTCTAAGAATTTGAGAACATTCACAGGAATCGTGCCAAAATCAACAATGAAAGCTAAGTTGAAACCGAGAGAATATGATTAACTAAGGTTTTTCACTCAATTTGATTGAAAATATGAGAACATTTACAGCAATGGTACCACACTGAACATTGAAACCTAAATTGAAAGCAATAGGATATGATTAACTAGGGTTTTTTTGTTCAAATTGATTCAGATTGAAACCCAAATTGAAACCAAGAGAATATGATTCATTAAGGTTTTTTTACTCAAATTCTCTAAGAATCTGAGAACATTCACAACAATCGCACCAAAATCAACATTGAAATCTAAATTGAAACCAATAGAATATGATTAATTAAGGTTTTTCACTGAAATTGATTGAAAATATGAGAACATTGACATCAATGGTACCACACTCAACATTGAAACCTAAATTGAAAGGAATAGGATATGATTAAGTAGGGTTTTTCACTCAAATTGATTTAGAATATGAGAACATTCACAACAATCGCAGCAAAATCAACATTGAAACTTAGATTGGAAGCAAGAGAACATGATTAACTAGGGTTTTCAGTCAAATTGATTGAAAACTTGAGAAAATTCACAATAATCATGTCAAACTCAATATTGAAACCTAAATTGAAATCAAGAGAATATGGATTAAGTCTGGGTTTTCACTCAAATTGACTAAGAATCTGAGAACATTAACAACAATCATGCGAAAATCAACATTGAAACCCAAATTCAAACTAAGAGAATATGATTCACTAAGGTTTTTTACTCAAATTGTCTAAGAATCTGAGAACATTCACATGAATCATACCAAAATCAACATTGAAAGCTAAATTGAAACCAGCGAATATGATTCACTGAGGTTTTTTACTCAAATTGTCTAAGAATTTGAAAGCATTCACAGGAATCGTGCCAAAATCAACAATGAAAGCTAAATTGAAATCAATAGAATATGATTAACTAAGGTTTTTCACTGAAATTGATTGAAAATATGATAACATTGACAGCAATGATACCACACTCAACATTAAAACCTAAATTGAAAGGAATAGGATATGATTAAGTAGGGTTTTTCACTTAATTTCAGTAAGAATCTGAGAACATTAACAGCAATGGTAGCCAAATCAACATTGAATCCAAAATTGAAAGTAAGAAAAGACGATTAATTACGGTCTTTCACTCAAAATGAATCTGAAAACATTAACAACAATGGTACTAAAATAAACATTGAAAACTAAATTGAAAGTAAAAGAACATGATTAACTAGGGTTTTTCACTAGGAATCTGAAAATATTAACAGTAATCGCACCAAAATCAACATTGAAACTTAAATAGAAAGCGCAAGAACATGATTAACTAGGGTTTTTCACTCAAATTCACTAAGAATTAGAGAATATTCACAGCAATCGCACCAAAATCAACAATGAAACCTATAAGAATTAGAGAATATTCACAGCAATCGCACCAAAATCAACAATGAAACCTAAGTAGAAAGCAAGGGAACATGATTAACTAGGATTTTTCACTCAAATTCACTAAGAATTAGAGAATATTCACAACAATTGCACCAAAATTAACAATGAAACCTAAATAAAAAGCAAGGGAACATGATTAACTAGGATTTTTCACTCAAATTCATTAAGAATCTGAGAATATTCACAGCAATCGCACCAAAATCAACATTGAAACCTAAATAGAAAGGAAGGGAACATGATTAACTAGGGTTCTTCACTCAAATTCACTAAGAATTAGAGAATATTTACAGTAATTGCACCAAAATCAACAACGAAACCTAAATAAAAAGCAAGGGAACATGATTAACTAGGGTTTTTCACTCAAATTCACTAAGAATCTGAGAATATTCACAGCAATCGCACCAAAAATCAACATTGAAACCTAAATAGAAAGTAAGGAAACATGATTAACTAGGGTTCTTCACTCAAATTCACTAAGAATTAGAGAATATATACAGCAATCGCACCAAAATCAACAATGAAACCTAAATAGAAAGCAAGGAAACATGATTAACTAGGGTTTTTTACTCAAATTCACTAAGAATCTGAGAATATTCACAGCAATCGCACCAAAATCAACATTGAAACCTAAACTGAAAGAATGAGGACATGATTTTTGTGGCATTACAATGAATGTTCTCAGATTCACAAATAAAAACAAAAACAAAAGTTTCGAACTCAACATTCAAGCTGAAATGGAAATCAAAAACAAAAGGTTCGAAAATGAAAGTTTCGAACTCAACATTCAAGCTGAAATGGAAATGGAAAACAAAAGTTTCGTAAATGAAAGATTTCGCAAAAACTAGGGTTTAAGATACTTGAATCTTACTTGTTTTCACCATTTTTGGTTGTTTGGATGTTTGATGATCTAGTTTGTTTTTGTGAAATCTGAGATGAGATTGATGAAGGAAGACGAAATGTGAGGCGAAATTGATGAAGGTGAGAATGAAATTTGCGAGGGTGAGAAATGGCGGGATGAATTGTGAATGAAATCATGAATCTTCAATTTTTGTTTATGTTTTGATTTGGTAAGGGTAGTTTCGTCATTTCAATGGATTATGGGACTTACAGTTAAAAGTTTTTGAACTAGGATAATCTACCATTATTTGCTAAAACAAGACTTACCTGTAAATCACCCAAAAAATTATTAGTTAATTCTAGACATTATGTTGTTATATTATAGACTAATAATAAATTTTTATGTCTCTTTACATTACTCAAATCACTTAATACAAATCTTTATCAATCAAAACATACATGGGACACCACATAATTGTATCCCAGGTCCAACGAGTAACTTCTCATAACTAAGGGGGTTAACTTATCATACGAATATAAACTTTTGACGTCTAAATGTAATTTCAAAAAAATGTAAGGAGTAAAAGTATCTCAGGCAAGCCTCAAGGGAGTCATTTGTAATTTACCCGCAAGATAATATTTACCCAAAAGCAGCGATTTATCATTTTCAGGGGTTTTAGGGTTTTTTTTTGGGTTGTTAGTGTATCTTCAGAGTGGTTTTAGGGTTTTGGTTCGCCATGGATTCCGATCAAAACAAGCTTTTCGTCGGCGGGATCTCAAGAGAGACGACTGAGGACACACTCACAGATCACTTCGGCAGGTACGGAGCTATTATCGGCTCTGTTATCGCTCGCGATCGGAACACGGGAAGCGCAAGAGGGTTCGGCTTTGTTTCCTTCTCCGACTCCTCTGCTGTCGATAAAGCTCTTCAAGACTCTCACACCATTCTCGAAAGAACGGTATGTTTTTCAATCTCTTCTTTTCACCAAAAAAAGCTCCTTTTTTCATTTATTTTTTTCCTGGGTTTTCGATTTTTTTATTTTTATAGTTGTGTTTGGTAGTTTTAATCAACAAACCGTAAGTTGTTATATAGTTTCTGATGATATAAATGGTGTGTTTTTATTTAAATTTTTTTAATTTGGGTTATTTGAATTTTGCAATTTTTTTTTAATATATAGGTAGAAGTGAAAAAAGCCATACCCAGGAGTGAACAACACCAAAATCAACAACAGAATAAGGGTTTGAGTAGGAATGGTAGAAGTAACAGTAGGAGCAGTGATCAGTTTAGGACTAAAAAGATTTTTGTAGGGGGTTTAGCTGCTAGTCTAACTGAAGAAGAGTTCAAGAATTACTTTGAGAAGTTTGGTAGGATTACTGATGTAGTTGTGATGCACGACAATGTGACGAGCCGGCCTAGGGGTTTTGGGTTTATCACTTTCGATTCAGAGGATGCTGCTGAGGATGTTATGAAGAAGAGCTTTCATGAATTGAGTGGCAAGCTTGTGGAGGTCAAGCGGGCTGTTCCAAAAGAAGGAAATAACAATAGTAACAACAATGGTTATAATCCGAGGGTAGGTAGTGGAAGAGATACCTTCAACAACTATCAGCGCGGGAATTACCCCTCTTATTTTCCTAGATATAGCATTGTCCCGGGTTATGGACCTCTTTCAGGGTATGGTGCTGTTACTGGGTATTCTTATGGAGCAAGCCATTTTGGTGCTGGGTACCCTCCTGTGGGATTCAGTGGAATTGGGTATGGGTTGACTCCTCCCGCACCAAGGAGTCCTTGGAATAGCCCTCCGGTTCTTGGCGTCAGGGGAGGTCCATTGCCATATGGCAATGTTGCTACTGTCTATCCTGCCTACTTGAATGGCGGTGTTGGAGCAATGGGTATGGCTTCCAATGGGTATAGTGGAGTTGCGGGAATGGGAGTGAATGGAAAATTAAGTCAACTTGGAAGTAGTGATGCACAAGTGGCAGCTGACGTAACGCCTGCTCAGATTAATGGGGCAAATGTAAATGTAAACTCTACGGGTATGGGTGGAAGCTATGGTGCTACCTCTAGTAAACAGAACAAAAATGGCACTACTGATGGGTGATTAAGGCCTTACCCTGTGTAAATCTAGTTGACTAATTGGCATCTCTTTCAGGGCATTGGCAGGTTAGTAAATTCTTACACTGACGGGTTAGAGGGGTTTTACTGTGACTATGTGAATGCCCTTTCTTTAGATGTTTTTCTTTACCATAGGGTATTGCTTGCTTGTCAATTTTAGTTACAATAATTCATCGTACAGGATTCGGACTTCTGTAATATAATTGTTTTCGATTCCCTCTTTTACCATGCATTTCTACTTTTAATGAGGGCATATGGCCATTGATATTTTGGATTGGGGTTGCAAGCAGGGCACGTGAACAAATGGTTGATTTGCAGGAATAGAATATTGTTTCTTTTTAGTATTTATTGACCAAAAAGAAAAAATTGTGTCCAGTGTAGTAAATAAATAATAATAAAATCCCCAAAACAAGACTTGTCTTACATTGAGTGCCTCTTCCAGCCTAATGATGCTTATAATTTTCATCACTCCTACAAAAAACCTCATTGAAATGGTTCCCACTTGTACTTGAATTTTGATTTATCTGAACATTGATCTGTGTAAGATAGATTCGGATTTATCAAATTCATTGTTAGTAGGTTGTCTGGTTGTGTGATTTGGTTATTTACCTTTCCTACATTTCTCATACCTATTTGTGATTTTAAAAAGAGTGACATAGCATACTGCTATGTAGTCCCCTTGGTTTCTTGAATTATTATCTAGTTCAAGAATAAATATACTGTGTCAGAAGGATGGAGCTTGGGGGTTGAGGATTCTTCTGTTTATTTGTCGAAATTATCCTTACTGTTGGCACATTCCTGCATGTTATACTGGTGTCATACCTTCCTTTTATAAGCAAATGGTGATTTAGATAGTACCTGTTTTTTTGTCCCCACTTTCTAATTTAGATAACAATATTCCCATTGCAACAAAGCCATTAATTGATAAAGCAAATTTGTCTAAAGAATAAGCCACAACACTAAAGTCGAATTTGATCAACCAAATAACTGATAAACAAATAATAATCTGACTCCAACTCAAAGACCCATAAGCAAATAAACTGAATCATTATTAATAATGTGGAAAATCACAAAAAGTTGTTGAACCTGATCTGACTCCAACCCAGAATCCGTCGGTGAGAGAATCCTACTGGTATGTTGAATTAAATTATGAATTGATGATATCACTGTTTTCCTGTTAATCCCACTGTTATGCCACGGCTATCTTTGCATACGAAATGGAGAAGTGAAGAAGTACATGATCTGGCTGACCGACGTAGGGCAAAGGGGCAAAACAGTCTTTCAGACATTAATCCTACGGGACTCCTTTTTCAATCCCAAGTCCCATCCAGCCAAGCTTATCCGTCTGCTCTATGGGATTGCCAAACCAATTGGAGTACCAATCCGGTTGTTCATTTCACAACCAAACAACCTATGAGTGGGGCCCACCTCACTCCTAATCCAATCCCACCAGGAAAACAAACAGGCCCTTAAGGAGTTCTCAAACTATGTTTTGAGTAAATCTTGCCAAGTTAAACATTTGCTACATTTTAAAGATGCACATTAAATAGTGATAAGAATGTGTGAATTTTTTTTTTTCTTTTGGGCAACTTGACTGACTACCAACAGAGTGGTTGAAACTAAACTTCAATGAATTTGTTTGGTGTTTCATATGCCTTTGGACTTTGATCAATATATGCAAGTACATTATAATGTATGAATATGTGCAAGTACATTAACCTTGCACATGGAAACCTATGATGATTAGGTTTTCTGCTGCAAGTATTTTGATTGAGGGGAATGAAAACTCTCCCTCTCTCTCTGGCTTCCATGTGTTTAGTTCTTTACATCGAATGTGTTCATGGCGTGACAAGCATGGGGCTCATGGTTGAGGCAATACTTATTTCTCTATGAACTTTGCATGAGTGGTGAAACTTTTGTGGTACATTGAAGAAGTTTGTCCCCAATCATCTGTAGCATGGAAACTCGACGAACTTTTGAAGTCTCGAGATACTTTGAAATTTAATCCATAATTTGCATGGCATTCATTTCATATCACTTGTTGCTTTTCCATGGAAAATTGGTTTTGAAATTTAGTGCCACACTGACTACATTGATGTTGTGAACTAAACTTCTGAACAGCAGTTCTCGAATGGTTGTTGTTGGGTTGCTTACTTGCTATATTCTGTTATTCTGGAACGATTCTTTCATGCACTGACTTTGTTGGCCTAAAATCTCTGAAACCTCAAGAGGCCTAATGAGGTCCTCGGTTTCTGGGAGAAAATTGTTATATTGTGTCTATTTAAGTTGTTCTTGTTTGGGGTTGACATATCCCTGCAAATTTTGCCAGTTTGCTTGGGGTGTTTAATTGAACATAGGTTCCCGGAAGCTCTTGTGAATTTGGTTCTTGTCTCTTGTGTGTTAAGTTTGCCGGGGCCAGGTGAGGGGGCACTATTGGTTCACTTTTAGACTTGAGGATGAGGAATCATTTGATTCATTTCTTAGTTTTTTTCACTACTGTTGATGTTCAGCTGTCTTGAGGAGTCTTGGACTTTGTACAATTATGAGTGGCACATGACCACGTGATAGGGCGGGCCTATTAAATAACATTTTTAGCTTCATTGTGGGGGCCAACACATTCCCATACAAAATGTGAATTTTTTTAGGACAAATTATATTAGTGGTCTCTATACTTCAACCCTAATTTCAATATGGTCAATTTATTGTGACAAATTTGCTCAGATTGTGTTAGTTTGGTCCAATCAATAACAATTTGTTTGGCAGAATTTTTAGCTAAAGTTTTGAAAATATTTGTTGTTTGCTTTGTACTTTTAGCTGTATGTGGTGTTTGGTAGCAGGAAGGGAAAATTGGAGCATTAAAATGCGTTTCAGTTTTGATTTTATTAGGCAGGTATACCCAAGTGGGTAAGAGTTGTGGTTGGCACATTGCCGACCTTTTCTGTTATTTTCTCTTCGTTTTATTGATGTATACATTTTATGTACTTCATATTAACATCAATAAAATCTTTCTGTTGATGAAAAAAAAGACACAAAAAAGTTTTTAGGTTATTAATTAAAAAAACTAAGGTTGCATTTGGTAGAATTTTCTAAATATGATTTGAGAATAGAGTTGTATTTTGAGTTTGTGAGTTTTGGAATTATGACTTGAGTGTGAAAAAATTGTTTAGTGAAAGAGTTTTGAATTGAATGGGGAATTTTTAATGTGACATATGATATTTGATACAAAAACTTACAACTTATAATAAAATACACAACTCAAAATTCTATTCAAAATTTATAAAAAAAAATTAAAAAATTTTGAAATTTTTTTATTTAAAATATAAAAAAATAACAAGTGGCATTTGTAAAAAAAAATTTAAAAAAATGTACTGTTCCGTCAACTGGTCGGATGTTCGGGAAGTCGACTGGTTAGTTTAAATTTTTTTGCTTTAGACAGTTTTCATAAGTGTATGGAATTGATTTTTGAAAATTGTAAACAAATGCGGCGAATGGATTTTAGTATTTTGGACGAAAACTGGTCACATGTTTCATATACTCTACGCCAGCAAATCTACTCTTCTTGTCACACCACCAGCTTCTAGCTCTCTGTCACTCCACAGCCCAATCCACCACCACCACCATTGGCACCTCTGCCACCTTGCTTACACCACCGCCAAACTCACCTAACCCCGACCGGATTCGGCAGGGATTTGTGGTGCTCCAGTGAGGGGTTTTTCGGAGTTTTTTTCGATAATCTGAACCGTTTATATTGTATGGTTGTCGAGTATATCATTTATATAAAAAATCAAGTTAATTAAAAATCTGTAATCCTATGGTCAGATTCAGATTGTTTTACAAAAATTATCAAAATAATGTTAACCGTTTATTTTTTAAAAAAAAGTTATAGATTTTCAATCAATTTGATTTTTTGCACAGATGATTTATTTAACGAATTTTATAATATGAATAGTTTGGATCATCGAAAAAGACTCGGAAAAAGCCTCCATCGAGACACCACAGATCGCTTCTGTGCCCTGGTCACAGCAGCATCCCTTGGTCCACCCAGTACTTCCTCACAGCTGCCTCTCCCTGGTCAAACCCCTTCCCTCTGCCTCCTGAGCTTAGGACTATCTGCTTGTTTTCATGTGGTCAGTGTTACCTGTTTGAGATTTCAACTTGAGTATGTTTGTAGTGGGCAGCCAAAGGGGGTACAGAGGGATGAACTGTCCCAAAAGCTTCTTTGTTTTTCTGAAAAATGAATACAGAAAACAAAAAATTAAAACACAGTTAGATAAAATGAGATTAACTGAACCATTACAAATTATGATTCTGATATGCAGAAGTTTTGGAATTAGCTAGTTTTTGACAATTTTTGAACCAGTAGTCCATTTCAACAAAGCACCTACTTGTAAGTGTATTGTAATGTAATGTATTTGTTTTCTGAAAAATGAATACAGAAAACACAAAAATTAAAACACAGTTAGATAAAATGAGATTAACTGAACCATTACAAATAATGATTCTGATATGCAGAAGTTTGGAATTAGCTAGTTTATGACAATTTTCGAACGAGTAGCCCATTCCAACAAAGCACCTCCTTGTAAGTTTCTTGTAATGTAATGTATTCTATTTCCCTTCAGAGATAATTGGCTATAAGTCCACTTTTCGAGTGGGATTAGACATAGTAATTAGAATATGTTGATCAGAAGTTTGAGTTTTTGGTGTGAAGATCGTTTCTTTCCCATATATACCATTTTCTTGTATTAGGACCACGTCTTGACTAAAGCTCGTTCAGCTCGGTGGGTTTTTACTGAGCCCAATCCCATATCTCGGGCGTAATGGGCTGATCTGAATGAGGTTTGGGTTGTGTTTGGCCCTAGGTTTTGAAGCTTGACCCAACCCATGAAGCTGGAAGAAAATATGAAAAAACAGAGCAAAATGAAAAAAGAAAAAGAAAAAAGAATTTGAATGTACAGTAGGGAGATTCTATTTGAAATTAAAATATGTATTAATACGCTCAATTTAAATTTATAAATTTTAATTTTTATTATATTTTAATATAAATTTTTTAATAAGGACAATATATATTAAATTTTTAAAAAATATATATTTTTTTTCATGGTACATTATAATTAGTTATTCCTATTCAAATCTCTGTATCTTCTTTCTCAAGAGATCAAAGTTATTTCATATTCTTCTTCTTCTTTTTCTTCCCCTTTCCCCTCCCTCCAAAACTTTAATTTACCCTATCAAAGCTCAACATTATCATCACCAGTTTTGTTTTTTATTATTTTGAACCCTAAATCTCATAAGAAAGTTTTAACAAAATCAAATA